AAGACCTCTTCCAAGCGTTGAAAAGCAAAGTTGTCACCTGAGGACTAAGGTGCGCCTGACCCAAGCCATGGTGTTTTCAATTGCCTGACATGCATGCGAAATCTGGACAATGAATAAGGAAAACAAAAGAAGAACTGATGCCTTTGAATTATGCTGTTGGTGAAGAATATTTAACACGCCATGGACTGCCAGAAAAATGAACAAATCTGTCTTGGAAGAAATACAGCCAGAGCGGTACTCGGGAGCAAGGATGGCAAGAGTTCATCTCATGTACTTTGGATGTGCTATCAGAAGGGACCGGTCCCTGGAGAAGAACATCATGCTTGGTAAGGTAGAGGGTCAGCAAAAAAGAGGAAGACCCTCGATGAGATGGATTTACACAGTGGCTGCAACAATGGGCTCAAACATAGCAATGATTGTGAGGATGGCACAGGACCAGGCAGTGTTTTGTTCTCTTCTACACAGGGTCGCTATGAGTCAGAACCAACTCGATGGTACCTAACAATTTTGCTATAAATGGCCCATACTTCAGTTTTGATGCTTGTTTCATAATAAATGTTGTCATTATAAATGAACAAATAGAAAGATTTCATAAATCTAATCAGAAAACAAATGTTACAACAAATTATTTTATTTTTAGATAGATCTTTCATCTCTAACATAAAGACGTTTCTATTTTTTGCTCTTACAAATTCATCAATGATTTGATCACAATTAAGCTGCCAAACAATAGCTACTTTCATACATAGTAAGGATAATCAATTGAGTCTTTCTTGAATCATTGTTGTACGCTGAGTATTTCTGAGTTTCATTAGGGACAAAAATGAGGGTTCTGTTGTGCAATTTGTGATCATTAAGGTTAGGAATATGTGTAAAGCAATTTCAACATTGGGAAATATGCACTGTATTTTATTTCCTATTATGGAACCATACATCTCCACATGAGTAAAATTTGTCTTCTGAATCTGTAAATTTAACTCTCATTTAAGAACGAAATTGTCGCACTTCTCTGTACAGGTCTGTGTTTAAGTCATTGGGATAAGCCTGTACTAATTTCTTGGATGCCATCATGCGTTCTTCATCAGGTATATCCACACTGTTTAAGAAGGAAAATGTATTTGAAAGATAACAAAGTTTCTTAAGAAAATGTTCTGCATCCTACGTTGGTGAGTGGTGTCTGGGGTCTTAAAAGCTTGCAAGCGGCCATCTAAGATGCATCAATTGGTCCCAATCACCTGCAGTAAAGGAGAATGAAGAACACCAAAGACACAAAGAAAAGTAGTAGCGCAAGAGACAGAAAGGGCCACATAAACAAGACTTCAACACCCTGAGACCAGAACTAGATAGTGCCCGCCTACTACCAATGACTGCCCTGACAGGGAACACAACAGAGAGTCCCTGATGGAGCAGAAGAAAGGTAGGGTGCAGAACTCAAATTCTAGTAAAAAGACCAGACATAGCGGTCTGAGACTGGA